AAGAGTGATCTACCTAGAGGCAAGCTTTCAAATCACATCCTAGAACTGAGAAGCTCCATGCAAGCAACAAGTGGCCTGGGACTGGGGTCATGGGATCATCCCTGTCCTCATGGGGGCAGAGGGCAAATGAACAGGCAAAGGAGAAGCTCAGCAGATGGAATACAGTGTTACATCTCCTGCTGCCGGGAGGATCAGGGACACAAGTTTGGATCTCCCCGTTCCTTCTCTTTGATCTTGTCTTGAGGAGTTGGATCTCTTTGTTTAACTTCTGAAAGCTTGGGGCTCCCAAACAGGTGGAAATTCTGCTAGATGCAAAATACTTGTTTTTCCATGGAAACTGTTATAACATCAATAGGAATTACAATTATACCACATTCTACAAACATAAACTGCCTTCCCTAAACACCTCAATGTGAAAACAAAACAACAAAAAATGTTTTGTTATGGAATTAGGTGTGATTCTGTGGCTCTAATTTTTTATTTATGTTTATGTGTATGAGTGCATTGCCTGCATGTTTGTAAGTGCACCCATGTCCTGCAGTCCCTGCAGAGGTCAGAAGAGAGTATTGGATTCCCTGGAACTGGAATTATGAAAGGTTATTAGCCACTATGTGGGTGGTGGGAACTGAACCCAGGTCCTCTCTAAGAGAAGCCAGTGCTCTTGACCACTGAGCCCTCTCTCCAGCCCCTGATTTTTCCTATAATGAAGTATGACCATTAAAATCTCTGTCTACTAGAAGAATCTGTTGTAGAAATGGGATTAAATTGTGACATGTGATTTGCCATTTAAATTATTTTGATTAAAATAAAAATAGATATAATGACTCAGTTCTTCCTCATTGATCAATGTTTAAATAAAATTATTATCAGGGGTAAGATGGACTGCTGTTCCTGGAGCTGGGTACAAGGAGCAGTGGGGAGAGAAATACATTTATGAAATGGAAGTCAGTAAGCACAGTGACACATACAGTGATTTTAATATATTATGTGATTGTATTTATCATAATACAACTCAGTGCTGTAAGCAAATGGTATCTATCCAAATGTCAAATGGATTTTGGTACCTATCCAAGCTGGATTAGTAGTCAAAATGCTGACAGTTTAGGATCAGGATCATTCAGTCACAATAAAAAATGTTACTATAAATAATAAGCAAGATACTGAATTAGGCAAGAGAAACGAGGAGATAAAACAGGTCAAAAAGAGTGAAAATTCAGCAATTTAGAAGAAGTAATCTCTGAAGTAGAATACTCTCCATGTTAAAAATATAGCCTAACATTTTTATGTTTGCCGTTGTAGCCTTAAATAAGCTAAAGTCATATTCATTTTCTTAAATCTCAATTATTTGCCCAATAAAAATGCAACTGGTGAATAGTTATATCAGATCTGAAAAAACTCTTTTACAAAGAAATTCAAACTGAGGGAAAAAAAATCACATCACAATCTTCACAGCACTTTTTAATAACTTGTGTTGAAATATGGAGGATGGTGGGGTGAGGAAGATTTCAGGGAGCCCTGTGTGCCCTTGGCGGAGTATGTTCCCACTGGAAGCCAGAGGCGGCCTTGAGTGGGGATCATGTCTGCATAGGGAGCTTAGTGTAGAAATAGAAGGGATAAGCCGGCTTTCCACAGGCTGAAAGGGACTCCAGTGAGCTCTAGGAGACAGCACCACCTCCTGTTGGCAGAAAACAATGTGACTTTCCCCCTACCCTGATGAACTCAGGACAACAAGTAGTAACACTGGGCCACAGGGAAAGAGCTCACCACTTTAAAATATCAGTGCATATTCCATGAAATTCTTAGTGTCTTTTACCCCACTAAAAGGCCTCTTTTTAACCTTTGTTTCATTTTATGCAAAAAAATACAAGTCCAAGTGAATAGCCATTTCTGAGAGATCTATACTACCTAGATGTATGCATTATGTATGCACATACCAAAACACCACACTGAGCCACACTGATAGGAAATTATATGGAAGTTAAAAATTTTAATTGGTATCAGAAAAAGCAAGCAAGCTTAAGAACCACTCCACAGAGCCACAGGTAAGAAGGGTACACAAAGGACTTCCCAGACTGGAGTCTCCAGTCTTCTCTTATGCTAATTAGCCAGCCCACCTTCACACTGTAAGTACAGTGCACCTACTAGGCACAAGGGAGCAGGAAGGAACATGAGAAAGCCTGCCTCACTGGAACTTACCCTACTGGATGTAATCCTATGCTACACAGGTTCACAGAAAAAGCAAAATGCAACAGGGTTCAATGATTCTAGAGTGAGTGCAACCATTTAATGAGAAAGGAGGGGCCTGGCTATAACAGGCCCCCTCTCCTCTCTCTCTCTCACTCTGTGCTTCAGTGTCACCTTCACAGGCCTCTCCTAAAGTGTGCTGTGTGAACTATCATGGAAAGGACATCTAAATTAAAACAGAAAACTCTACAGATAGGTAGATATAAAAAACTGTCATACATGTTTTGGGGAAAAAAGATTATTTTAACCTCATATTTTTGACAAATAAGAACATTTTTCTAACTTAAGTCCTGTTCAAATATTCGCTATGCAGCATATCTCTTTGTAAAACCAGGTAATTCTCTCCTTTAAAGTATGTAGATCTGGCCTATGATGTCACAGATATCAATAGAAACGCCACAGATGAGATCAGAAGTATCTGCAAAGAGAAGGGACACATAACAAAAGCAGGAAACACTGGGTTTCAGGAGCCTACAGTGCCAGCTAATTTATCTGCAGCAATAGCAGTTCTGAATACAAGGTCAACTGATGCTATTACTAAATGCACTTTTAAAATGACTGAACTCCTCAGGTCATCCTATGATGCCACAGCTTATCAGCTCACACCAATGTAGACTGAAGAAGGGTGGTCATTTGAAAACAGAAAATACAGAGTAAATACAATTCTTACTTAGAGTCCCAGACTGATGACTCTCTACTACATGTAGAATGATCCCCAGAACTGACCTAACTTAGAAAAGTATATGAGAACAGTTACCTGAATGGAGAAAGAAAAACTGGACATACCAAATCATGCCTAATTTCTGTGATTCAAGCAGTCAACATAAAGAACACATTATACTTTCAACTTCAGAACCCACCCAAAACAGTAGAAATACAATAGATTCAGTACCATCTTTGTTTTATCACTATCTTTCTAATTAGAAGCACTAAGTTCTATTAACTGAAATTCTATGCAAGCTCACTAATGTTATGCATAGCTATTGCTAAGTAACAGGAATTCTGCATGGCTGTCTATGCTTCAGGGAAGCACTGTCCATCAAAGGTTCAAAGTGCTTCAGCTTGTAGTGCAGTTAATGCAATCAGGACAGTGAAAATGTGCAAATGTCAGACTTGGCAGATTGATTTTAAATGAATAAGCATCCAAGTGTTACTACACACCAGTTTAGCACAACATCAGAGCAAACCTTACTATGTATGAGTCCAGCTATCAGTGTACTCTGCCTCTGAGCTTGGCTTCAGTTGTGGCAAAAGTTCCCTTCAAGTTCAGTTCTGCTGGGCCATTCCCATCATCAAAATTCTTATCACACACAAGGCACCCGGAGGCCTTACACTGTCTGGCAACTTAGTGATTGACAAGGAGCTCAGTGACCCTATTTGAAGGTTTTTGCATGATGTATGTGCTTAAAACAGGAGTCGTTGCCAAAACACATCATTTGCTCAAAGTAGAATAAATCGCTTTAATTCTTCCTCTAATCACAACAGTTATAAACAAGAGTTGTTGCAAGAACACTTCTCCAAGACGATCCATGGGAAGGAATCCTATTAAAGTTCAGAGCAGTAAAACAATAGAAAGTCAGGGACTCAGGAGCCTCTGAACTTGTTTTCTACAGTTTATTTCCAGGTAATCCAAGTGTATTTTCTAAGAGTTGAGTCCCATCTGCCATAGTTGGGAAACTATTCATATTACAAAGCATTTTAAAAATAAACACCACATTTCACACAAAAGGTGAAAGATGTGGAGGAAATAGGCACAACCCGCAGAGCAGTCCATCAGTCTCAGCACATTAGACATAACTACTGAACACTGGCTAGTTCAGAAGCATTGATACTGGAGAGCATGCAGGGGCCTCAGCCTGCCGTCTCCGGAAACCTTTGTTGCCCTAAAAGGACCTTAGACGCATCATGCTCTCCTGCTCTCCTGCCGTGCTTGGGGTGGTGGGCCCCGGGAGCAGAGCTACAGGGGTTATGTGGCTGCACCCCAGGACACAGGCGCACAGCCTCCAAAGGCCATAATAACCAGCTGCTCGCTTGAGCACTGGTTCCAGAACACTCGGTTGCGCTGTGTGGGTGGCAACTTGAAGGTTTCCAAGAACTTTCCGTTTTTGTTTGAGCCAACATTTCTGGGTTTTGTCAATCAAGAGTTTAGATATTTAAAAATAAAAGGTTGGAAGGGGGATTGTTTTGGGTAAGAACCAGAATAGACTATTTTAATAAAATGTTGCAAAGTTGGCGCGTCAGCGGTCCTCTCCCGGGAGGACCCGGGAGGTATAGAGCTGGCCACCCCGCGCACTGGGGCAGAAGCAGTTGGCGCCGCGCCCCTCCAGCGGTCAGCAAGGGCCCCAGAGGAACGCCTGAGCTGATGCAGGGCCAGAAGGCTCTGCAAGCTTCTCTCCCTGGGCTCAGAGGGTCCGCTCCTTGGCGGATATTCTGGGCAAAGCCCAAAGCCCACTTCTTGGAAGACTCCAGTTCCCACGCAGTAAAAGGAGGCACCTGTACCCTACGACCCAGCGGTTCAGAAAGAGAAACGCGAACGCTGTATGCTGAGAGCGCGGTGCCAAGGGGAGGATGCCCTCGGTGGCAAGAGAAGGATACCCTCGGTGCCCAGAGCCGAGCTTCAACCCCCACCCACAAGAGTCTCCTGGAAGAGGGACACGAGGACGCGGAGAACGAAGGGGTGCCGGGAGAGGAGGGAAAGCAGGGAGACGACAAGGGACTCGGGGAAAAGAGGGCCGCCCCTAGGGGACACCACTCACCCGCGTGGGCACCAGCAGGTGACCAGGGCGCCCGCGGGGGGCGGCCAGGGGCTGCGGTCCCTCGGCGCTCATCGCCGCCCACGCGGCTAGGCGCGCGCTCCGGCCTCGGGAGCTCCCGCGTCCAGCACCCACACGGCGCCCGCACCCTCTCTGGATGGGCTCGGGGCAGCGCGGGCAGCGGTGGCGCTAGCTCACCCGGCGGGCACGGAGCCCCGCCCCCCGC